CTTTCTACCAGTTCCTTGAAGTAATGGCTGCATGATCCCAACTTTGCAAGTCCCTCACTTTTCCATGTGAAAGGGAAAAAAGATGTGAATTCAGGAAGGATGAGGAGTGTCTCCTAAGGCCTTTACACTCAGAGATCTTCTGTGGTTCTATACAGTATACACAGAGGTGGGCTTCAAAAACTTCAGCAATGGGTTCTCTTCTCAGTTGCTGGGTGGACATGGCCATGGTAGGCGTGGCCTAGTCAGCCACCTGCACCATTGCATTTTTGCCCTCCCTGGGCTCCGGAGGCTTTCCTCAAGCCTCTGGGAGGGCAAAAACTCTGGAGGCCCTCCAGAAGTTTTGGGTGGCCTGTTTTTCCCCTCCCTGAGCCTCCGCGCAGGTCCAACACTTACCTTGCATCCAAAACAGACCGCTTGGAGACCCCTGGGAGGGGTGGAGTGGGCGACTTCAGGCAGGGGTGGGATTTGGAGGTTCTCTGAACCAGACATAATGTTAGCTACAGGTTCTCCCGAACCCGGGCGAACCCATTGCAGCCCACCCCTGAGTATACACCACTTCTGTGGTCAGCTTGAACTCATGAAAGGGAATAAGCAATCCTGCTTCCTTCTTCCCATGCATTCAACTGGCTCTACAGCAAAAGTGGTATTCAGCAGGTTCTGACCAGATCTAGAGAACCAGTAGCAGAAATTTTGAGTAGTTGGGAAAACTGGTAAATGCCACCTCTGATTGGCCCCACCCCCATCTATTCTATGCCTCCCAAGTCCCAGCTGATCAGGAGGAAATGGGGATTTATAGTAATGGGGCTGCGCCTGAAAAGTGTTCGGAGACTACAGTTGGTCCAGAATGCAGCCACGCGAGCGATATCGGGTGTACCTAGATACACCCATGTCCCACCTATCCTCCGCGAGCTGCACTGGCTTCCTATCAGTCTCCGAATGCGCTTCAAGGTGCTGGTCATCACCTTTAAAGCCCTACATGGCTTAGGACCTGGATATCTGTGAGACCGCCTGCCACATCCCTCCCAACGGCCGATAAGATCTCACAGGTTGAGCCTTCTCCGGGTGCCGTCGACTGGACAATGCTGGCTGGCGACCCTCGGGGGGGGGCCTTCTCTGTAGCTGCTCTGGCCCTGTGGAACGATCTACCCATAGAGATCCGGACCCTTCCCACTCTCTCGGCCTTCCGAAAAGCCACTAAAACCTGGCTATTCCGGCAGGCCTGGGGCTATTGACCTCACGAATGAGGTCCGGCCCCACCAAGATTGAGTGTATGGTGTGTTGCTTTTAAATTTGTTTCTTCTCTCCCTATTTTTAACTTGTTATCTTTTAGTCTTGTTTTTGTAAGCCGCCCAGAGTCCTACGGGATTGAGTGGCATATACATTTATTAAATTACAATTACAATTAATGTTCTCCTGGAGTTGGGAGGGAATGGAGATTTTATAGTATCCTTTTCCTGCCACACCCACCAAACCATGCCACACCCACCAAGCCACGCCCACAGAACCGGTACTAAAATTTTTGGAATTCCACCCCTGCTCTACAGAGAAGCTACCGTGTTGTCATTGTACCTGGTTAGTTCTCTCTCTATTTGGAAATTCTGATTTTTTAATGATTTCCTGTCAGATAGAAAAATAGAAATACCTTCTTTGCTAATTTTGGTTCCACCACAAATGCACGAACGACAAAAGCGCGCCTGACTAAACCGCGGTGAACAAAACCGCGGTGACAAAACCGCGCTGACGAATGAGCGCTGAAGCGCGCCGACAACAGCGCGCCGACAGAAGCGCGCTGTAACCCTAACCCTAAACCTAAACCTAACCCTAAACCTTACCTTAACTTAAATCGCGCTTCTGTCAGCACGCTGTTGTCGGTGCGCTTTTGACATCGCGGTTTTAGCGCCACGGTTTTGTTGGTGCGCTTTTGTCGTTCGCGCATTTGTCGGGTCACAGCTAATTTTTACACAGTGTTCATTGTAAAAGGAAGGAGAAAAACCATTCACCTAGAAATTCAGTATAACAGTTCTTAACACATTTTGTTAGATTCTATAAAAGTAGTTTAAACCTAGTTAACGTGATATGGAAGCTTTTAACATTTTGCTTTGTTGTAACCTGTGATTAAATAACCTTTATGCTATAGTATGACTACATGTGTATTTAGGAAGAATGTCCAATAAACATAGTAGCCTATTATTAAGAAACAGTAATAGAATTAGGCTGCATAAAATTAAGGCCGGGCCGTTTATATACCAATAATAGATTATATAACATTTTGCAGATTTGCATGGTATACATAGATGCTTTAGAGTCCAGACATCTTCAAGTTGCCAAGGTTGAGAAACACTGCTTTAGAGTTTGCCTGCCAGAAATGATACTATCTACTGAAGTCTGATGTGCACCAGTTACAGGTAGTCATGTTATACTGCACTGAAGTTATGAAAGGCACTCAGTCTTGGCAAATTGATTGTTTTCATAATAAGGAACATCGGACTCATAATCAAAAAAAGTACATCTCAGTTTTTTTAACAGCTTATTGCAGAAATCCAGTTATAGGTGGCTTAGAACATGCATTCCATCTTAGTGCAAAGTCATCTACTCTCCTATTTCTCTTTTAGCTTATGCTATTTTTTCTCCTGCTCTGAAACCAATTGAACAACAACCACTGGTAAACGGCTGGAAAAATTTAGGGTAGCCTTGAACACTTCTTCAGATTTCCAAGGCAAGGCAAATTTCATGCTGATTCAACGCGGGTAGGAGATATAGCATTTCAGTTCAGCAATAGGAAAGCCTCATAGGTATGGTTTAATATTTCAGGATATGGCAGCATTATTTGTATATTTTTACACTGATAATGTCTGCCTGCCTACCTACCAGTGGTGGGTTCCGGATTCGTTTACAGCTACAATGCATATGTGCACCGCGCACATGTGCACACATGCTGCATGCATCCATGTGGGCGACGCCAGGCCACATGTGCACGCATGGATGCATGCACCGTGCGTGCACATGTGCATGGTGCGCGCATGCATTGTAGCTGCAAATGATGCTTCCGCAAGCCTCTGTGATGCTCCAGCTGCTCAGCGGAGCGTCACACAGGTGCTGTACATGCCATGCAAATGCGCGGAAGTGCCGAAAGCTTTAAACCACGGTAAGGAGCTCAGGCAGGCGGGCCCTCCGGAGCACCATACCGGAACGTATCTGGTGCTCTGGGCAGGCTCCGGTATGCCTGTACTGGGTCGTACCACCTGCAACCCACCACTCCTGCCTGCCTGCCTGCCTGCCTGCCTGCCTGCCTGCCTACCTACCTACCTACCTACCTGTCTGTCTATCTATCTATCTATCTATCTATCTATCTATCTATCTATCTATCTATCTATCT